TACAGCTTCATAACTGCAGTGGAAATGGCCGCCATCTGAAGAGGAACGCTGGCTCACAATGTAGATATCTGCAAACAGAAGAAGGGATGCACATAATCAAAGTCTGATGGCCAGGTCCGCATTCGGAGTATTGTGGTTTGGCAGAATTGCAGATAAGTGATGTTTGCACGCACCAGTTTAATAAAGTACAGAGGAAACCTTGTATGTTCCACACGTGTGTGTGTGTGTGTGTGTGTGTGTGTGTGTGTGTGTACAAATACATTTCTCATCAATCCTCTGCTAAAGGAGCAACACATATTGTGCAACACAAGAGATTTCCTCCGTTTCTTTTATTTATTCTATAGTCATGCTATGAATCAGGGGGTATTGCCACAAAAAACTTCCCATTTTCCACTCCAAATTCTTACTTGAACAACATATGAGCACACGGACTGAGCAAAAGTACATCCTCAAATCAAGTATGAAAGCGTTTAGCCGCTAACTTTCAGTATCGTGACATTCTGAAGCCTACAATGAGATGTGGGCAATGAGTGGGACTCTCGGACTCTCCGTAGGCCAGATAAGCATTGACTCTGCCCCCTGCCGAGCGGTAATGCTGCCTCCACAGCACGACGTATGAGTTATGTGAGAGGTATTTTGGCCTCGGTCTTCAAGCGCGCAGAAGCACCATGAAGCTGAAGTAACTGCAGTGTGTTTTCTTCTTCTCGCTTCTCTCCTCGCTTTTTCTTCTCCTCCTCGCCTGCAACCAAATGTCACAAATTGCCTGCATTAGTCACGGCGAGGGCCGTGCATCCAGGCAAGTCATCATAGGCAGCCGAGCACTGTGGCTCACCGGCTTGTGAAAACTCCCTTTGAAGAGTATGTGATGCTCCTTAATTATCAGAACTAGCTGGACAGAAAAACGTGAGGCATTTGGTGAAGCTGAATGTTTTTAAATGCGAACAAAACCAAGGCTTTCTCTTGACAACTTTTTATATGTGCTTATTATTCTAAACCTACAGCAAGGCAAAAAAAAAGTTGACTGAAAGTGTTGATTTATTTTTTTCCTGGCTGATATTTTTCAGAAATGTGTATGTAACTATATTTATACCTTGCAGTGTTTATGTGGAGGCAACACGGAGACAGAGTTCATGTGAAGCACAACACACAATAATACCAACTATAATTTATTTTATTATCAAGGTCAATTGTGATTATATAGTATAGGACAATGGTTCTTTTTTAAATGAACAATCCATCAATGCCCTGTATGTCTGTGGGGCCAATATCATATCATTTGATCCCACTACCAAATATTAATATGGGTCAAGCTACGAAACACTCAATCCTACATTAAACTGCCATGTTAAAACTCTCCACAACCAAGCCCAGATAAGCCCCTGATGACATCACAAGGGGTTCTTTTCCTCAGACTTAAAGGGTAACTTTGGTATTTTAGGACCCTATTTTTCCATGTTTTTGTGTCTGAGTGAGTCAATATTTTTTTTAACTGGCCCAGTATTGAGGCAGAGCACCGCAGTCGCAAAATGGGCTGCGATGTAATCACTCGGGGCACCGTCAGGGTTCTCCAACCCCAATTACAGAAAGGTTTGCTGTTTTTACCAGCTATAATGAATATTCTATACTAACAATGTATCAAATTAGAATGTAAAAACAATGTGACAATATGAATGGTGCCTCTGGGAGTGATGAACCCAGAATCGGCAGCTCCTCTCGGCTCCATAGTGAGTTTCAGCTCATTGATTGGCTGTGGGCCGAACAGATAAGGAACTCTTTTGTTTCACTCTCACAGCTCTCGTAGTGTCATTATCAGACACAGCAGGCAGCTGTACACTACCTGCTCATCAGCAAACAGCAGACAGACACCGTCAGAGACCAGCTGGTGAACACAGCGGAGCATTTAGCTGCTAAAGGGACGGATACATTTCCCTCAGCCGGTAGAGAGATCAAAAACAGCGAAAAGAGAGCAAATATGGGATTAACGTTTCATTCATCAGGTGTCCAGCAACACGACTCCACATGATTGATGGGGTTGCTACGTAACCGCTGGATGTGTATAAGCAATTGTTTGGTGATGATATGACATTGGAAAAGGTTCAAACACCATGCAACCCGACAAGCACTTTGTTTTAAACGTAGTGACACCATTAGGAGAGCTCAAAGGTCAATTAGCGTCAGGAGGAACGCTCTGAAAACGAAATAAGTCATTAGTCAAAGGAAAGTTCCCCAGATTGAAGTTTCAACACATTTAAATGTTAAGCATCATGCCGTTTGAGACAAGCCTGTTGTCAATCAGCCACAATGTAGCAATTATGGGTTTTCCATGACAACCCCTCTTCCAAAGCTGCTGGTGGAAAGTCAAGTCAAGTCAAGTACACATCTCTTCATTATGAAGCTCAGGATACTCGAGAGAAAACAAAATGTCACTGAGTGAAACAATGTCATACAGTACTAGAATATAACTCTGCTGGTGTTACCCGACATAAAGCAGGCAAGCTTGTTATTTCTACATTTTAGCATCCGCCATGTGCACGCACCTCGCCGGTCTGCGGCTGACGTCGCCGTGCTCTAAAGCAGGACCAGTGTTTCAGCCAGTGCCCGCTGATGACAGATGCTTTAATGACACACATGTTCGTTCTGCGTGGGCCCAAAATGCCTTTTTATGGCAACGCATGCACAGATACATGCGAGATTGCGACTTTAAACACGAGTGAATAAAGACGGATCGCCGGTCTTTGGAAGCACTCCGTCCTCCCAGAGGCCCGAAAGTCCAAATATTTAGCCGTTCTATTGTTAGTCACACTCTGTTAAAGCACAGAGTTTGGGAGAGGGAACATGGTCGTGATAACAGTGATATCCACACCTAAATAATCATATCTGCTTTTGGTTGCAGAAGATTTTTTTTTCATTTCTTTGCCGTACACTCACATGGAAAGTAAAATGCAAACCTCAACGCTCGCAGCATTTTCTTTGTCTCACAGAGATTTTGGCTTGTCGCTGTCGCGCTGATGGTTTTCAGCAGGCCTATTGCTCCTGACAGGAGGCTTCCTCATGCATGTGAGCAAAGCCAGGTCTAGTCTGGAGGGGGAAAAAACAAACCGTAGCAACCATCTATGTACAAACTGTTGTTGGATGCCATCAGCCCATAAAGCTGTCTGTGTGTCATTGCCAAAAAAACACAGCCACCCTTATTAAACCATCAGCGTTTATTTGAAATGTTACCGGAGGTGTCGTCTTTAAAGTGCTTTGGGGAATCAGCTGGCCTTCTTCTCTGCACACATCACCCCTTTGGCATACAGATCTCTATGTGGAGGTATCAGTCAATAGGTCGTCTTACCAATGAGCAATCTAAGCATTTCATGTTGTTGATTATAGCTCAATAATGATTCAGAGCAATTTTCTGACACTTCGACTTTTCACGCCTGACCCTTTTTGTCAACCAGCAAACTTTTGATTACGGTGCCATCTGTCACCATCCATCCATGCTGCATAATGCATTTAACATTCCGCACGCTGTTGCAGAGTGTTTTTTCTTCTTCTCCCAGGCCTCCGTTCAAGAAGCGGAGGAAGACGAAGGTGAGCGGCGTTCCCCTGCGGTACGCAGAGACAGCTGCAGAACACATTAATTTGATGAATAACCTCAGCAAAGCTATTTCTCTAAACGCATCCACGCTTCAAATCAAATTAAGTGCCGTGTGTTTTTTCTGCTGCTCCGCGAGAACTCTTACCAACACAATGGAATGCAAATTGGCCTTCATTTAAATAGAGGGAATTCACACCTTCGGCTGGGAGGAGATGGACACCCGGGGCTCAGCAAATTGACTCTAGCCTGTGTAGCGTGGAGGCCGGATAAGGAAGCGCTTCTCCAACGTTTGCATGGCCAACGAGCACAAACAGAGCTGTATTAGATCACCAACCCCCGCTAAAAAGATAGGATAATGTGCACAACATCTCCTCAAGACAACTGTTTATTGTTAGATAAGACTTGGCTCCGAGCTTCAAAACTTTATCGCAAAGTAAAAACAAATGAATTTGATCTATTACGTTCTCTTGCAGGAACAGTTATTTTAATAAAAAGTAGAAATACTATTTCCTCCTTTTGTTTGTCTCTCTTTCAATATCCACAGGGCCTCACTGTGTTCCTGCAACACATTTTAGGAACCACTGGAAAGAAATGAAGCCCATGACCCAGTTTGAGACTCTAATGTGTTATCATTATCCAAGCATCACATTCTCTAAAGATAAATACCGTGCAATTAGAAAAACAAACAGAGGGTGTATATGCACTGTAGTAAGTGTAGCACGCTAAATCTTGAGGTATTAGAATCCTCTTCTAAAAAATTTAAATAAAAGTATGTTAGCCAGAAATGACTTATATTCTTAGACATTGATATTGTTAAAAGTTGTTACTTTTACATCTTATTATATATATATTAAAACAAAAGAGCAAGGTGATAATTAAATATGCAACTTGAGAAAAGAGTTCAAATCTTTTTTTCGAAGATAAAAAAAATTCTCCTTAAGTTTTGTTAAACAAGTTCTGTGACTCAATAACATGAGAACACAGAGGGGGGGCACCAACTGAGGCTTCTCATTATCATCATTAATCAAATTAGCCTTAATTAACTGGAGTGAACTTCCTTAGTCTTCACCAGAGACTCACGTTGTTCCCTGCACCACATTTTGGGACTGGGCACTTTTATTCTGTGCACTTTACATGAGAACTAATGTATAAACCGCAATCCCAGGTGCCATTGTGTGTGCGTCTATATGTGTGCCTCCATTTACCATTCTGATTTTTCTCTTTTCTGTATTTGGTTTTTGACAAAAGAAGTAGAAGCAGGGGAGTAAAAAGGACGGGTAGGGAGGCTCCTGGAGAGTTTTTTTTTTACACACTGTGTAATTAAGCGTTTTGACTGACAGCAGAGTGCCAAAAGGCGCAGACGCATTCCGATTGGCTGGAGCGGAACTTTACAATCCGCTCTTGTCTCTAACCTCCGCACAGGCAAGAGCGCTGTACCTCCCCGAACTCTCGCAGGGAGCCAGACGCACCAGAGGAGCGCGACGGTGGCTGCAACCAGAAGGAGAGTGCGTGTGGACTTCACTCAAACCAGAAAATTCAACACGCTTTACGCGCGTCGATCAGCAGAGCTCAGCCTCTTTTTCCCCCCCAACTTTGTTTCTACTCTAAATTTGTTCATGAAGTAAGTGTTGTCCGAGCCGCGCTGAGTTGCATTCATTTGATTGCTGCTGCTGCTTTTGCTGCAAAACCAAAAACCAAAAAAACCACAAAACAAACCATGAGGTCTGCCTCTGAATCGTTCTGGAGGATGATCCGACTGGCCGCGACAGTGGCGCTCGTGTCGGCGTGCAGAGCGTCAGAGTACGAGTACCTCAGCTGGAAGTCGGACGTGTACACCGGCGGGCGCAGCTACGGCAAGGCTCCCCAGTGCGTGGACATCCCGGAGGACCTGCGGCTCTGTCACAACGTGGGCTACCACCAGATGCTGCTGCCCAACCTGCTGGAGCACGAGACCATGGCGGAGGTGAAGCAGCAGGCCAGCAGCTGGGTGCCCCTGGTGCACAAGAACTGCCACCCGGGCACGCAGCTCCTCCTCTGCTCGCTCTTCGCGCCCGTGTGCCTGGAGCGGCCCACCTACCCGTGCCGCTGGCTGTGCGAGGCCGTGCGGGACGGCTGCATCCCCATCATGGAGGCATTCGGCTTCCCCTGGCCGGAGATGCTCGCGTGCGACAAGTTTCCCCAAGGCGACTTGTGCATCGCCATGACGCAGCCCAATTCGACCGAGGCCACCAAGCCGACAGGTAATCCACACTTGACAAGTGTTAATTATTACCCCACTATCAAGCAACATGCAAAAAACACCCATCGCATACATGTTACCAGTGTTGAGTTGGGACATATGCGGGTTTTAATGCCTGGCTCAAGAGCACGTTAGTGGTAGCTAATGGAGGTGGGGGGGTATTTTTGGTCAGAAGCCTTCTTTTCTGTACTTTGGGTTAAAAAAAAAGAAAAGTGGTGGTAGTCTAACTGGTACGGGCATAATTGTTTTTACTATGACTGCAACTAATTGTTTGATTCATAATGGATTCAACTGCCGCTGCTCAGACTTTGTTGCCATGAATTGATTCCTTTTTTTGGGTTTATAAAATCCCAGAAAATAGTGACAAATAAACCGCCACACGTTGCCTACGCCAGGGCTGTAACCGGGTTTTAAAAAGGTCATGAGCAAGTTTTCCTGACACATAATACTCCCCTCCCCAGAAAATGACCAGACACTAAATTGAGATTTTGATGTTTTCGATAATGTTTTGTGTAAATTTTATTTCCCTACATCGAGGTCTAAATTACATTTCAAAGCCTTCTCCACACTGCCACGACTTCAAAGTGGCCTCAAAGTAGTCACATTTAGATATATTATATCGCCTAAAACAGAGAGAAGCAGCACATTCTCACTTTCAAAAAGACAATGGGAGCAGCAAGCATGCAGCATTTCTTGCTTGATAAATGACTAACAATTTATCAGTTAAAAAAAATTACTACCGATTACTTAGCCGTCAATTGGTCACAATGCGGCCATTTGTGATTCCTTAATATAACCAAAGATTGACCATCTAAGCTCAGAGTGACTACCTCACTGAGAAAACAAACAGCCACCACTTTGGCCCTCTGTAAAAGCCGACACCCGAGCACTTAAATGGGCCTGAGAATGTTGTTACAGGGCTGAAGGTGTGCTTGCAGATGCAAATCCCAACACAAACAAACCGCATACAACCTTTTAGGGGGGAAATCAGCTGTGACACCCTGGATTTGATTTCACTTTAACAATGCCCCCCCCCCCCCCCCACACACTGCTCCTTATAGAAAGTCTCATGCGGTTACATTTTCTTTTTCTATCTCTAAACTGCCAAACTCCGGCTTCCTTGTGAACGTGAAGTTGCTCGCTATCGACTTGGAGTCATATATTGAAAAAGCTCTAACAGATGGTAGTGATTTATTCCAAGGTGTTTGTTGAGCTGGAGTATAATGCTGGGAGGAAGTCCAGCAGCGAATACCTGCATCCAATAATTCCCATTTTCTACCGCAGCATCACTGTTAAAACTGCCGAAAGATGGAAAAGCATAATTCGAAAAACATAGTGTCCAAACAATACGCGTTAAAATCCAGTCTGGAGGCCATCACTAATGGCTCCTTGGCTGCAAATTCCTGAAATCTGTTGGCACTGTGTGTGTGTGTGTGTGTGTTGGTATGAAACAGAGTCAGACACTTCGTGCAGCATCAGTAAAGGAGGGGGGGGGGGGG